ATCATCGTAACTTTCACCATCGCTATCATCATAACTTCCATCATCATCATCATCGTCATCATCGTCGTCGTCGTTGTCGCGACCACCATCGTCACCACCACAATCATCATCATCATCATCACGATCTTTCCATGCATCTATTTGTTCATAACCTTCACCATAACCACCACCATCATCATAACCATTACAATCATCATCATCATCATCATCACGATCTTTCCATGCATTTATTTGTTCTTACTCGTTGAGATTTCGTTCAATATTTGCCCGAACCGTGCTGTCAAATAAAAATAAGAATAATAATAATAACAATAATAATAACAACAAAAACCACAGCAATAAAAATAATATTGGGAGAAATTTTTTTTAAATCATCGTATGTACCAAGAAGCAACTCGCCATGTAAAGCAGAAGGTCATGTTAATAAACAGTAATAATAATAATAATAATAATAATAATAATAATAATAATAATAATAATAATAATAATAATAGGAGTAACAGCAATGATAACAATCACAATCATATCAAAGTAATTATAATAATAATATCAATAACAACGTTATCATCATAACTCCCATCATTTTTTTTTCATCTTCATCACCATCATCATCACCATCATCATCACAACCATCAGCATCACCACCATCATCATCGTCTTCACCATTGTCATCATCATCGCTTCATCATTTGCGCCAGCCTAGAGCAGGTGAAAATCATTGATTCAGCGCCACCTATGTGAGTATGTATGTATGTATGTATGTATGTATGTATGTATGTATGTATGTATGTATGTATGTATGTATGTATGTATGTATGTATGTATGTATGTATGTATGTATGTATGTATGTATGTAGGTATGTATGTATGTTTGCGGACATATATAGCGAGCGTATTTTTATCACAAGCATGTATTTGAGCTTCTCAACTCAGGAGATATAGCATGGTGATATGAAATGGTTATTATTATCATTATTATTATTATTATTATTATTAAATAATAATAATAATAATAATAGTGATGATGATGATGAAGAAGAGGACAATGATGAAGAGGAAGACGACGACGATGATGATGATGATGGTGGTGGTTAATTTCGTAAATGGTTTGAAGGCTGATAGCAAGAGGTTTCCGAAATTCATCGCTGCTATAACTATTACACAAGTGAGTGGGTGAATGAATGAATGAACGAACGAACGAACAAACGAATAAATAAATGGATGGATAATGAATGAATGAACGAACGAACGAATGAATGAATGAATGAGCAAATGAATAAATTAATTAGTTAGTTCACGAACGAATGAACAAATATTTGAAAAAAATTAATTTATAAAAATTTCATAAACAGATATTCTGTCATTGGCAATCTCACGAATCATCATTATTAGCACAGCTTTCATCGTCATCGTCATCATCACCGCCATTCCTATCATCACTAATATCATTATCATCCTCACCACAACTAACAACAACGACATCAGCAAACTCAACAACAATCCCAACAGCAACAACAAACTCAACATCAATAACAATAGCATTAACAACAACAACAACAGCAGCAACAACAAAATATTCCATCAGAAGAACTCAACTCAATCAGCAATTTTGGCACGCATTTCAACACACAAGGTCAAAACTTTTTAAATTATCAATAGTATCAGCAGCAGTAGTAGTAGTAGTAGCAGCAGCAGTAGTAGTAGTAATAGTAGTAGTAGTAGTAGTTGTTGTTGTTGTAAAAGTGGAAGTAGTAGTAGTATTAGTAGTAGAAAAGTTCTATACAAAAGTAGACAAAGATGTGTAGTAATAACACGATAAATGTTTTATTACGGCTGAAATATTTTTTTTATGATCATCATCATCATCATCCAATCCAATCATCATCATCGTCACTGCCATCATCATCCTCATCGTTACCATCATCATTATCATCATCATCATCACAGTTGGACCCACGTTCTGACAAATTCATTTATTCAAATCCTCTTCGGCTTACCATTGGAATTCGAGTATGGAACGCCGAAAGTGTTTCTAATCTATGCTACATCTATCTATGCCGGTTGGCAAGTTGATTGATTGATTGGCTAGTTGGCCTGTTGGCCTGTTGGCTGGCTAGTTTATTGATTGATTGATTGATTGGCTGATTAATTGATTGATTGGTCGACTGGGTGGTTGATTAATTGATTGGTTGATTGATCGGCTAATTGATTGGTTGGCTGATTTGATTGGTTGATTGAAAGATTGTCTGATTGGTGGTTTATTTTTAGCGTCCAAAACTCCATAGATACATCTTTTACCATAAATAGATGCCTCTATTTTGGTTCAGTAATAATAAACACAATAATAATAATAATAATAATAATAATAATAATAACAAAAGATTATTTATATAGCGCTAAACAACAAAGAAGACAAAAAGGCAGAACAAAACTAACATGTATTTTGATAAGAGAGAAAGAACGATGATAAAGTAGAAGAATGTTTTGAGAAATTCAATCAATTTGTCGGGACTTATTCACTATGATGTGTGTGAAATGTATGCTTTTATGTATTGCGTTTGTTTGTGTGTGTGGTGTATCTATGTATATGTGTGTGTATCTATGTATATATATATATATATATATATATATATATATGTTGTGTGTGTGTGGGTGTGTGTGTGTGTGTGTGTGTTGTGTGTGGTGACGTATTTTTTTTAAATTATATTTTGAAACATTTTTAGGCAACTTTGCTCATTCCAAGTTGGAACATGGATGCAAGTTGATTGGCTGTTCGGCGGGTTCCCTGTCCATGATTGGTGCAATGTTGAGTCACTTTATTATGGTTGGTTGATTTTGATTGGTTAGCTAATTTTGTAGGTGGATCGTGATTGGTCGGTCGATTTCGCTCGGTTGATCGTGATTGGGGCGATTAATTATGTCGGTTGGTTGAATGATTGGATGGTCTTTTGACTGATTGTCTGGTTGGCTTGTTGATTTAATTAGACGAATATGATTGGTCAGTGGGTTTGATTGACGGATTGTCTGATTGGTCGGTTGTAGAGATTAGCTGATTGTGATTGTGATTTTTTGGTTTTGGTTATGATTAATCGGCTGGTGTTATTAGTTTGCAAGATAGAAATATGATTATGGTAATAGTAGTAATAATAATAATAACATAATAATAATAATTATTATTATTATTATTACTTTTCATATTTTTTGTTCACAGAAATATTTTTCAACAAAAGAAGGCCATCATAGGATATTTCAACTTTCATGTCTAGGTAATAATGAAATGATAATAATAACTTCGGTAGTAGTAGTAGTAGTAGTAGTAGTAGTAATAGTAGTAGTAGTGGTGGTGGTGGTGGTAGTAGTAGTAGTAGCTTAATATTTGTAACATGAATCTTTTGTGAAATCAATATTGTATACATTGGTTTATTCCAATTAATTTTAATCAATTTTATATAAAACAGCAACAAAAACAACAAAAACAACAAAAACATCAACAACAAAAATAATAATAATAAAATTTTCCCGCCCTTGTACAGTTCTACTTGATTGCTTCGCCTCCTTTGCTGAATATTATTTCCATGCAACATCATCATCATCGTCTTCGTCATCATCATCGTCATCATCATTGTCATCATTATCATCATCGTCGTCGTCTTCGTCATCATCATCATCATCATCATCATGGCCATTTTTATCGTCGAAATCATTATCATCCCCGTCGTCGTCTTCCCCAAAGTCACGTGGCATAGATATCCAAACATCTTTTCCTGCCCATCTCGCGGGAAGCATTTCCGGCATTTTGCTTGGTTCTTTGCTCTTCCGGTTGCGGAAAAATGGCGGCCAAGATGGCGACGATGAAGATTATCATCGAAGATGAGGATGAAGAAGATGACGATGATGATGATGACAATAATGATGGCGATGTTTATATACTTAATTAACTGCTTTTTTTAAATTTTACGTCATCATTAAAAATGTAAATAAACAAATATAGCTTAAACAAAGAATAAAAAAAACCGTAATAACCTTTAAAAACAGATAAAACTAACTTTTTAAAGAAATATAAATTATATATCTTTGGTGTTTATTTTGTTTGGTTTTTATGTGTTTTTGTTACCATGGTAACGATAATACGGTTTTTTGCCCATAAATTGTAATCAGTGTAATATAAAAAATTCTGTATGCGTTTTAAAATAAATTTCAACAAAACTATATTTGTTATTCAATTAATCGATCATTCATTCACACAGACGTTCATTCATTCACTCATTCATTCATTCATCCATTCAAATATTCATTCATTCATTCATTCATTTATTTATTCATTAATTCATTCATTCATTCACTCACTCATTCATTCATTCATTCAATTCATTCATTCATCCATTTTTATGTGCGTACATCTACCTAGATGCCTTCATTCTTCTCTCTTTCAATACTCATTTATTCAAAACACTATCACTAATAACTCATAACAGTAACTGCTACTACTACTACTACTGCTACTACTACTGCTGCTGCTGCTGCTACTACTACTACTACTACTACATCATCATCGACATAACAACATGAACACAAATAACAAAAACCAAACCGAAAACATTGATAACATCAGTGACGTAATCAACAACAACAACATAACCACAAACAACACAACCACAAACAACAACAACATAACCACAAACAACAGCAACACAACCACCACCAACAACAACAACAACACAACCACAAACAGCAACAACATAACCACAAACAACAACAACACAACTACAAACAACAACAACAACAACAACGATTACATAACCACAAACATGCACAACAACTACGACGATGCGAACGACGACACGCAACTACAGATGAGTGAAATGACGTCAACAAACTTTCTGACATCTGGCGAACGTTGCTGGGAAAAACGGCGTTCGAATGGAATTAAAAAAGGTAGGTGACTTTATTGTTATTCACTCGTTCGTTTATTAATTCCTTCATTTATGTTCATTTGTTCA